GACTGCAAAAGCTTGAACCCCAAACCGACCTATGTGAAAATACTGCCACTATCCCTAGCCCCGGACCCTCATGATCAGTATATGCTTTAATTATGCCACCCAAAACCCTTAACAGCCCTAACCCAAAACATGCGGCCCCTGAAACTCGAAACCCGAGAGACTGCAAAAGCTGCAACCCCAAACCCTCAATGTAAAATCTTCGAGCTGGTGGGGTTCTCCTGTTCACTTCTCCTCAGGACTGGATTCTTCTGAAGTGTTTCGATTCGAAAACCGAAACGAATGACTCCGAGAGCGAGACAGAGATCGGTTACGAGCAAGAGGTGGGCTTGGAGGGGTCTGCAGCGGCTTCGGCTTTGTCCCTCTGATAAACTTAGCTGTAGTTTCGGGCTTCAGAATTCAGATTGGGTTTATATAGTATTATATATCTATCTATATATATATATACTATTGTTATTATTATATATCATTATTGTTATTATTATCATTATTTTTTATTGTTATTATTATTAGTATTATCATAAATTATTATAGTCTAGAAAGTTTCGGCTTATCCCCCAAGCTGCTGGTTTCAGCTGCGAGAACAATGTACCAGATTTATTCATGGCTCAAGGCTATAGTTAATTTCGGCTTGTATATGGGATTATAATAATTTCAGTATACGAGTATTGGGTTCACTCTTATATATATATATACATATATGTATTATCGGCTTCTCCTCAGGGCTGCTGGCTTCAGCTGCCATCTAGTATCCCTTAATTGTAGCATCAAAATAGCCCAAAAGCCTAATTATATAATAGGGTCGTTGGGGGCCCAAAAAGCCTTAAACTATGAGTCCTTTGAGGGTATTTGGGTATTACATCAATTATATGGGCTCCGACACAACTCCAGACCCGAAACAACACCTAAACCTTATATTGCTGCACGCCGAGGAAGCACATCATGAGCGATCGCAGCAGCGGCCAAGATCCTGATCACAAGCCGAATCCCGCGAACAAGACTGAGAAGAAACAGCCCAAGCCGAAGTCGGTTGTGCAGGAGGCTTTGGCCCGCTTGAAAGCCGCAACCGTGAAGCTT